TGCATTCATTCCTATCAATTGGGCTTTTCTTGCATGTGCATGTAAAAAGAATAATTATATCACTGTAATTAATATGAATTATGTTTTCCAAAATTAGACACGAGGTAGCTCCAGTGTTAAACCGTCCATTTGCTACAGTCACGACAATGTATCATATTTCTGGCTAACCTGGAATACAAGGCAGCGAATGTCCAATGAATTAGAAAAGGACAGTGTACAATCTGAAGTCGTTAGCAAAGAGGTGTACGGAAAGCAGGAATTTCATTGACTAACTGGCCCAAGGAACGTGCCTCAATCATCGAATAACACTTAACCTAGATAAAGAACAGACTCGTCTCATTACACCGAGTTACGCGTTCTCTGTCTTCAAGCTCTCGTCGTTTGAAGTCCACTGCACAAAGGTAGACCGGTTTGAACCAATATTCAAAGTGTCCTCGACTCGTGAATGCATTAAATACCCACGGCTCGTAATCTCATCATTCCACTCAAGCAATTACCGCCGATACTTGCGCAACCACTCGCAGCTTAATCGTTCCGTTGTACAGGTTAGGGCGGACACGAATCGATACCGCGCACCGATGTATCCTCGCATAAGCTCACTTTCTCTTTTCCCATTTTCCGCGTCTTATCTCGCCGTACCCGGCAAATTCTTTCCCCCCTTATACCTCGACCCCTCTCTCGCAGCGTAAATTGGTCGACGATACTTCATGGAAACGACGAATACTCGTATTGTTCGACTGGCGGCGACGTTGAAGAGGTCGAACAACGCCGTTGAAGAGCAGGCCTCGAATGCTGACGTGGAGCTTCCATTTTCCCGCTATCAGCATCCACCGATATAATCACCGATATAATGGCCGGGCATCCCGTGGCAAGCATCTCAGCCATCTTCGAGGAGGGTGGCGCTGGTGTGTCGTCGCGCCTACGACCGGCTTACTCGGCAAGTCTATTGTTTGGCGTGTACAAGCGGGAGCACACGGTACGTGGCCGGCACGTCGCATCGTTAAATATTCACCCTATTCCTGTGATCGCTAATTTCCCTGCTGTATCATCTCTTAGCTTCCTCGCTATCTGGCAAGGTGCTCCCGAGCTACGTATTAAGTTTCTATTGCGTATATATCAATAGAGTGCCGATGATCTGTATTAGCAGACGAATATCTCGGATTAATTACTGGAACTGCCTCGTTTACCTCGAATGGAAATGTCGGTTCATGGAAAATTTTGCTGGAACTGCTTGGATAGAGGCAATTTCAGCTATTTTACAATTTTCCGTTCACAGGTAATTGTAAAAGCGTAGTTTACACTCGCATTAACTGGGCAAACAAAAGTTGTGCAAATTTACGTGGACTGCACTTTACATATTTATTAATTAGTGTTATTTCACAAGCAAAAGTAAATTGAACTATAAGGTTAGGATTTTAATACGAATTGTCTCGCTTACACGTTTATCTTTGGGTTCGGGATTAATGTAGGAAATCAGAGACGGAACAAGTCCAGTCCAAGCTTATAAAAATGCAACTGGTACTTATGAGTAGAGAAGATATGCTGGTTTTACAGGATAACCCATGTTCCCACTTTGCATCTCTCACTTGAAAGAAATGAACGATGTTGAATAGTCAGTCTTACCTGATCACCCTTACAGCTTCGATCTATCATATTCTGATTATCATTTGTTTTTATTCGTGTCCAAATTCTTTACGACTAAACGTTTCAAAAATTATGCTGAAACGGGGTGCAATAAAATCATTTCCTGGTTGCAAAAGTGGGGAATTTTGTAAAGAAGGAATATATAAGCTCATAGGACTTTGGAGAAGAGTCATGGGACTACTAGGTTATTATTTCCTTTAATGAAATTACATAATAAAAGAGATTGAAGCATTTAAAATTTGTTCTGAAAATTCGTACAAAGTTTTTAGGGTCCTTAATAAAATACTTTGTTCAAACCACGATAGAACGGGAACAAAAAATCGTATGATAACTTATAAGGAGACTCTGTATAAGGGAACCTTCCTCCTATAGCGCACATTCAAAAGAAATAGCAGAAAAAAATTGTCAAGCATCGTAGAGTGCTATAAACCTACCAAAGTTTTAAAGAAAAAGACTATTCTTGATGCTTCTCTTTACTTTTTCAAACACGGAAATTTACGTGAACTTGGTTTACACAAGTGTTAAAGTAGATGATACAAGCTTTAAGATGAGTCAGTGTTGATCGTTATACGATGTTTCTTTATGAAGTTACAGCAGTTAAAAGATTGACAATTTTTCGACCAATATTTCTTACTAATATAATTTCTTAACTCTATTGTTTAATATATTGTCTAATGTGTTGTTCAATGCATTGTGTAAACAGTTGTGAACAATCTCCATTTAATACTGCTTCTCCAATTAGTAGAAGTTTGTTGGTACTTTACGGCATCTTTCCGAATTTCTTCTAGCCCCTTACCGCATGCTATCTTCCATCGCAAAGTACACGTACGCAATAGCAGTAGGTCCTCCGCTCACCGCTAGATGGATGCTGCCGGTTGCATCATTCTCGCAAGTGTTTCTTATTGTCCCTATTATAAGTATATCATTTCGTGGCACGTTTCTCTCAACACTGCCGCTTCATAATCGTACAGTGTGATTTTTTGGAAAGGACACGTCCGTCTTGCATATCACATTTTGTATGCATGATTGAAATGTGAATGTTGTCCTTGTATATTCCTCTTCTTGCCTTTCGGTTCCCTGCGGTCCGTCTCGGTATTCTTTGCGGTTCATTCACAACCACTTTGCGGTCGTCATAACCCGCTCCTCTCATACGCTACGCAGTGGATGTGCCCTTATAATTTTCTGCTCCGTCCCGCCCTCTCTAGCGCTTTCATGATCTGTCTCTGTCCCGGGTGCACCCTAACCTAGATTTATACCTTCAAACTTAGCGTGGTGTAGTGAAGTGAAGTAAAGTGAAGTGATGTGCAGTAGAATATGTGTGCCTTCTTTTTCAGCGTTAACCACGGACCACGTATATTAATAATATGCATTCGAATATATAATAAAATAAAAAAAATAACTTTCAATGTAATAAAGTAGAAGAAATAGTAGTTCGAAGATTTACTGACATAAAGTCGACGGTATTTTTTGGCACAGTCAATAAGAAATGGTATATATATTAAGAGGCTTTGTTACATACTTAACACATGCCATACATGCAGAGGTAATTCTGTCACAAAATGCCGGTTAGACACTTCACGTGACAAGAGCGACATCTTGTGTCGAATGTGGGCAGGTCAACGGGCGGGAAGTTCGAATATATTACAAAAATTTCTCGTTAATTGATAGTATACAATCCTTCGCTTTTAATCAGCTTTTCCTCGCATTCCATGCAAAATATTAAATTCCTAAATTTTTTGAAGGAAATTCACCACATCTACGTCGATTCAGGTTTATTTCGACAATTTCGAAAATGAAAAAATCCCCATTTACATACGACACGCTCAGATAACGAGTCACGCGTATGTTCAACTCATTTAGAATTTAATAATGCCGCGCAGTAAGCCAGGTAACGTATACGTTACACGTGGCTTTACGACTACCAGTGAGTACGCTGTTCCGAAAATCCAACGAACGTGATTATTCGCATTAACGAACAACCCGAGAAGCGTGAGAAAAACGTGGAAAAGGAAGAGGCGGGAGACAGCTGGAAAATATAAATATAACGGACGCAAAGTGGCATTGTTCCTTTTCTAGTTACCTGCTCGCGTATCGCGTAAGAGCAATGTGCAACATTTCCTGCTTTCATCGCACACGTGTACACGTTGTT